AAACTTAGTATGGAGCCTAAAAGGTATGAATCGTCCGCCTGTTTTTAGCAAACAGGGGCTCTCAACCACTACTCCTGCTAGGTTAACAACCTGAGTTAAAAGCCAACAAACATTGGCGAATAAAGGGGAACAACCGGTACCAACCGCTTGATACCTCTACTACTCAGTTACTTGGCGACTAGGTAACAATCATGTTTACTTGGTCAAACCACTTTCCTACTTGGTTAATTTTACAAATGACAGGACCGCCTGCCTAAAGGGGATCCAGTCTTTAAAATGGTTCGAATACCGATTGGATAAATGGCCGACTGATCGTCTAGCCTGGAAACAGACAACCAGTCGTCCAGGGGCATAGGCGGCGTGACTAACTATCCGTACCTGTCTGCAACTATCGGCCATGTAAAACAGTCGGTATAGTGTACAATTGGATATCAGAATATTCAATACTTAAACAAATTTGAAGCAAAATAAAAATATTCATTAAAAAGAAGCCGGTCATTAAAGACCGGCAAAATATTCAGAGCCCCGGCCCCCTGGCCGGGTAAATACAAACAAACGGCACACAGGCCGTGGAAAGAAGACATAAAGTTTAAGAAGGGGGCAGATCTTCAATATTAGCAGCTACCGCCTGGTCAGCACTCTTCTTGCTGGACTCGGCTTCAGCTGCATCCTTTTTTGATGCATTACCCCCAAGCGGCACAAGCGCCACTACCGGCTGCTCCTCCTCCTCCAACGCCTCCTCCAACGCCTCTTCCTCAGCAGCCGCCAAGATCTCTTGATTATATCTATCAGAACACTGGCGGTACGTTTTTTCCCATGAGGCAAAGTCGGCATTGGGGAAGAGGCGGCCCCAAGTCATGCGCTGGATTTGAGCAGAGTCTTCCATCATCTCCCGGACCAGCTCTTTCTTTTCTTGCTCGACCTTTTCCGAGAGCTCCTGAGTAAGACTCTTCTCCTGGGTCACCAGGCGTTCCTTTACACTCGCCAAGGATTTCTCCAAGGTTTCGTATGAGGACATCTTTTGGCGAAGAGGTCTCAGCTCGGCCTTGAGGTTGTTGATGGTCGCCTCCAGCTCGCTATTCCTCTTCTGGGCCGCCTCTAACTGAGCCCGGATAGCGGCGGTAGCCTGCGCCTGATAATAAAGAATATCAATGGTCAGAACTTCATTTTGGGCAATTTGAAACATTGCCTTATCACAGTCAGAGGCGGCCATAGCTTTTGCAGCCTTTACCTCTTTGTTCTTCCGGTCAAGCGGCTTGCGAAGGCCGTTCACTCGGAGCAGGGCCTAAGTAAAAAGGGGAACAGGCGTCAGTTTCCAAACAAAAAGAAAACAGGCGTCCTGGAATTCAAATACTCAAAAATATGCTAAGTATACCTCAGCAAGGACCCCTGCAATCCCGTCTAGGTCAAGGGTGCCAACACCCCTGACCGCCTCAGCTGGAGAAACGGCCTTGATCATAGACTTGGCCACCTCGACCAAGTCAGGCTCCTGAGGGCCGGCTGCATCAAGCATAAACAAACGGATTAGACCTAGTAAAGAAGGGAGCAAGTCTAAAATTTACAAGGACAATTTCATACCTCTAGGTGGCCCAGCTGGAGTTTTAGAAGAAGTGGCCGGCTGTTTCTCAGCCGCCGCATGTTTCCTGGCAGAACCAGGAGAGCTCGCAACAGTCGTCCTCCGGGCCTTGGGGTCCGGCTGTTGGGAAGAAGAAGCTCTTGGAGCGCCCGTCTAAAAAAGAAGAAAAGAGTCAGTATATGCATAAACACAACTCCAAAAAGAGGGTGAAAGGTTCGAAGCCCACCAAGGGTGCCCCCTTGTTGGGGGAGTCGGTTGAAGACTGTTGCATGATGGAGGCCCGCAACATGGCCGCCGCAGTCTTGGAGGCGGTAATTTTGCTCATGGCGTCCGCTGCAAAAACAAATAGCAAAGTTAATAAAAGTCATAAGAAATGCATGGAACAACAGACTATTCGACAGGCCGGCTACCTCTTGAGCACCGACTGCTGAGGCCACAGGCGGCCAAAAAGTACTCGTCGTAGAGCCATTTGAAGCTCGGGACGCATTGCAGGGGTACTTGCTCTCGTACCCCTGAAGTAGAGTTCACCTTCGACTCTACTTTAAAGAGTCCTTTATCTAGGATCTCTTTCTTAGCCTTGGGGGGAACAGGCGGCATGCTGCGGCCGCCTGCAAGAAGGGGCGGATTCCTGTTCCACATGTTGAAGCGTTTGTTCAGCTTTGTGTCTGAACTCTCAATGATGAGGAAGGTGCTCCGCCAGTCCTTCCATTTGTTTGCTTTACCTCTCGTCATGAGGTAGCCCCTGTGGCTCGTCAATTGATACCAGCCGGTACCGCCTGCCTTAGGGGTCCGGCTGAGGTAGTTCATGTGGGCGAAAGCCTCGAAGCTCGGCTCCACCCCGTGCAGTTCGCACCCGGCCACATAGCCGAGTACGTTGACCTAGGAGTTCAGGGCTAACTGCCATAACCCCAACTCATACCCATCCAAGATCCGCTGAACAGTCGGATGTAGTGGGAAGCGCAACCCAGCCTTGATGGCCGCCTCGTAGCAGCCAAAGCAGGCGCTATCATAACTGGTACCAGCCGGCCAGACGACTGTGTCTTCTGGATCCGGCACAAACACTAAAAAGCCGGGGCCCATTGTGTGGTTTGCAATAAAGCTCTCCACTTTCTCTTGCATGGCTGTGATCCGGCCCCGAGGTACCATGCAGTAGTAGGGGGTATTTTGCTCTCGGTTAGAGGCGGATGGCTCCGCCCAATCGTCCCCCTTCTCAACTGCGTGAGAAAGTCTCGCCTCTTGTAGGCGACTGTTTTTCTCTTCTGTGTCCAGGGAAGCATGGCCAGAAGAGCTAGACTCGGAATCGTCCTCTGACGAGTCCGAAGAGGACGACTCTTCCCCTTTCCCGGAGGGGCCCGCCTCCTCTCCTTTAAAAGGAGCAGAATTGTCAACTGTAAAATGGGAAGGGGTCACTATGACTCCTCCCTCAGAACTTCCGGCTTTCAGGCCGCTTTGTTTCACTTCCACATCTGGCGCCTGGTCAGATGTTTCACTAATCGGCACCCTGTGGGAGGAGTCGTCTGAGTTTGAGATCCTGGCAGTCTTTTTTGTTCTGGCCATCATGTTCTGCAAAGACACAGATACAGTCGGACTTTGTATAAAGGGCAAAGATGGGTCCAGAAAAGGGCAGGCGGCACTCCTAGTCCTAGATTCAGCCGTCCCCGGTGACCGGCTGATCACTAACCTAGGTCGTGTCGTGTGCTTCCGTGGTGCCATTTCAAAAAAGAATAAAATAAAGAGAAAATTAAGAGTAAGAGAACCGACGGTGACCTGAACGAGTGACGATTGATGAAGTTCTGAAAATCCTTTGCAGTCGGCTTGTCAGAGCAGGCGGTAGGCAGAAAGTGTCCAAAATGTCAGAGCAAGTTCAGGGGTCCGAATGTTCTCTCACAAAGTATTCAAGTGTGAAAATGACCAAAGTCAACACTCCTTTATATAGGCGAAGTAAGAAGGCGAAGGGTCACTTCCAGAATTCAAAATTTTGGCGGGAGAATCTCTCGGCCTCTCGCCGAGTGACACCTGTAGCAGGCCGTCGCCTGTTACAGGGCGATACCTGTCACAGGTAACACGTGACCAGTCACGTGCCACCTGTGAGGGGCAAATTATTAGGGGATTTTTCCCCACCAATCACCATCTGACAAGTGGACCAATCAGGTTCCGCCATGTGTCCGTCACATGGGCCAATAGGAGCCTACCACGTGTCAAGCAATGATCTGTCCACCATGGACCAATTACGACACGACACGTGTCCTTCCCATGACACCTGGGATAACCGGTCACCTAGGCCCAACTTTCGAGGGAAGCCCAATCAGCCCAAGGTTAACCTAAACCTAGATTGGCACGTTTCCCGAGGTTATAAATACCTCCCTTAATCCTCATTAAGGGAGATAACAAGCTAAAAACGCAGATTACACACATTAAACACTCCCACCTAGAGAGACCCAATCACTTTAATTTCCGCATTAATTACTCCTTAATCAAGTACTAACTTGACCGTTGGAGGCGGAGCTCCCACCACCAGGAGTCTCCGTTGTTTTGCAGGTACAGGCGTCCGGTTCCAGTCTCGGAATTGTAACTCTCCCGCAGGACATCAGAAAACCCCGAAACAACTCTAGCTAACTAATCTTCCTCCTTCACCATTACTAAACACCCTCCAAGCTTCTTGCTCCAAATTCACACTAATTCTTTCCATCTATCCTCCAATTGCTCTAGGTGAACATGTAATTCGCCTCTAATAAATTTGTCTTTTAGGGTTTCTGAATTTTAGGGTTTTCAAATTTTAGGGTAAATGGATTATGATTTTGGTTGATTAAAATAGAGCTTTTGTTTTTTCTTTTGATCAAATTAAGCTTTCAATTATGCATAATATATGATTTTTCTTTAAATTAAGCTATCAACGAATTCTAGTGTGATCGTTTCTTTTCGGTCCTCCTCTTTCAGTGATCCCTCCCTTATTCTTCATTGCTCGAATTTCTGGTTAATTTTGCAAAGTAAACGATTTGTTGCTGAGCAGAAGGTTCGTGACACCAATTTGTAGAGTGTTTTTCAATGGAGGTTGAAGGTCAGACGGTTAAAGGGAAATTATGAGAGAGAAAGAAAGGAAAGGGGGTTTAAGTTTAGCTATGGTAACCATGGGTTAAGGGCATTTCAATTTTTCTTTATTTTTTGGGTCGTTTAGGGTTAAATGTGGGTTAAGGGGAATAGTGACGTCATAAATGATCTAAAGTGGAGTATGGTATTAAAATCAAATTTTAAAATTTTTTTACGGTAATAATTCACAAGCTTTTTAATTTCCGGTACTAATTTTCAAAATAACATTAATACGTTGTAGTAATTGAAAATTTTTTATAAACATTACGAAATGCATTGTTATTTCAAAAAAATCAAAACAAACAACATATACTAAGTTTGGGGGGTTTTTCATTCCATTCTTTCTTTAGTTCATTCCATTCCGTTTGCCCGTCAAACCAAACGCCCCCTTACTCTACTTGCATTAGTACAAAAATCGTGAATATTCAAACACCATTCTGTGATAAATTGCAAAAGAGGATATGAGTTATGGACACCAACATTGAGAAAGATACACCTTGCTCTTCTATTGCCGTTGAATCCATCGTTCGTATTGGAACAGTAAGCAATTTAGTTTATTTTGCTCTTCAATCATAATTTTGAACTTTTATTTTTATTTATCAATTTTCAATTTCTTCTGCATTCAATTTCAGGCAGGAGCACTCTGGGGTTTGTGTTCTGGATCATATGATGCTAACAAATTAGGTAATTTATCCAACAATTTGACAAATTGATCATGGGTTATTATATTTTTGATAAAATTAAGTATACCCTTTTATAAGTTTGTTGAATTAATTTGTTTGTTTGTAGTTGGATGGTTTATTTCTCTGATTTGTGTTTTTATTGTTGTTTTGGAAATTTGATAATTTAGGTCTTGCTGGCTATTCTCGTGCTTCGTTTGTGGTAAGAAATTTGATTTTGTTCAATATTAGAAAGAATGAAGAAATGGGCATTATGTTGTTTTTGTTCTGTTAAATTTATGCTTATATCATACCTCTTTATGTTTATAAATGCAGGCGAAATCGATTGGCGTAACTAGCTTTCAATGTGGTACTAATTCTATTTAAACTAAGTCTGTTTTTTTTTTTTTTTACCATTTAGAAATTACATTTTGATGCTGAATGTTTAAAAGTTGTTGTTCTTGTTTGTGTGTTGGTCTTTGTAATTTGGTTGAGTTAAGAGATTGAGATAAAGAAGGGCAGGATCTGGAATAGATGGTGGATGTAGTGAGATGGGAACCTTTCACTTCTTAAGAATTCCACGATGTTATTGCTTATTGCTTAGAATCAAGAAAGTTGCAAAGAAGGATACTAGTATATGATGGGTAGGGTTTTAGGGCATGTGGTTGTCTCATGATTGAAAAAGAGAGCTTTGAGAAGTAAATTCCTTGGGCTGTAATGACGACTCTTTTCTTATTGGTAGATTATTAGTTCACATTCTATGTTAGTTGATATAAAGGTTGTTTGATTATTACTTCCATTTCAGCGCAAACCTACAACTTTAGGTCTTGGGTAACTACATCGGGCATGGGTAATTGGGTATGTGTGTTTGTATCAGACCCAACTATTGTATGAAAGCTTTCCTTATAAGTGGTGTATAATTAGATGTCAACTGTCCGTAACCATGTTGGAGTATTGAGTAAAACTTCCAAGTAATCTAGATGCAAACATGATAGCTTACCTTGAGATGCATTCTTGCTCATAAGAATATAAGATATGGGTAAAAAGACTGAAGAACAATTTTTTTGCCCGATAACAAAAAATATATGATTAATTGGCAATGATGCGATGCTATCATGGGTCTGTTATGCTTAGTATAGTGATGATTCTCATAGGTTTCATGGGGTAGAGGTCTATAGTTACCCCCTTCTTTAACTATCGCGATAATTGAGATATTGTTCTTGTTAGATTTGTCTTGATGCACACCTTCAAAATACCTTTTATGATTTTACTTATTTATAATTGAAGATAATAGTGGTTAAAGTTGTGCATTGGATGTGGTGAAATTTTATTGTCGTAATAATAATAAAGGAACAAAGGAAGTATTTCTTATCCTCGTCATTGAGAGTTCAGATATTCGGTTGGAGTGTTTGTTGTGGAGTTGTGATACCTTTGATGATGTTGTGGACTCTTGGGGGACAATGAGAATCTATGTTCACCACTTTCTTGACTAATTGGTTTTGACTGGCTTGGTTTACGGACTAAAATTTACTTTCATGAAAAGCATGTGAGCTGGATCTTTGTGATTCACACTACATTGAGCTATAAGTTCTGAGAGGGCCAACTTTTTGAGATGAAGTATAAGTTTCTATATTAGCATTTTATTGATCCTTGTGTTCTACAAATCTGGGAAGTCTGTGTTTTTGTAATTAATGCTATTTGATTGACTTGTTAAATTATATAACCCTCCTTCATATGAATCAGTTTTCTAAGTTCTCTATAGTGTCTACATACCCTTTCTTTCACAATGTTTGTATGTGTAATGGGGTTTTTAATGATTAATGTTATTTGATTGACTTGTTGAGCTTTGCTATCCTCCTGATGATGAATCAGTGGGCTTCTGACCCATTCCTCTTTCTAATTAGGCAAAAAGCAGCAATTGAATCGTGAGAAACTAATTGTTAAGATTTATTTATCTAAAGATATGCAGACATATTTAAAAATAGCTCAGTGGCGCGAAAAAGGGGAAGAAATCCTATACATCCGTCACAGCCATTGTGCTGCAACAACAAATTTAATGTAGTAATTGCAGAGTTATTAAGAACTTTCCTTTGGTGACTTCTTAGGCAACAATGTCTTGCTTCTTGGAAGTTAGCTAGGTTCAGGAATATAATGACAACTTGGCTATGCTGCTGCTTTTTATGTCATTGATTTGAACTTGGCCTTGTTTTTTGATGTATTGATCCTTACTGTTTTCTGGCATATGATCCTTCTCAAAGCTTGCTAGTAATTTTTAATTAGTCTTATACTATTTTGTTTCCCGTTGGACTAGGAATGTTTGCTGGGGTTTTTTCCTTAACTCGCTGTGGAATCCAAAGTTATCGAGGGCGTGAAGACGTGGTAAGTAGTTTATGTAACATCAAATCCCATTAATTTCTCTTAGTAAGAAGGGTTAGTCCAAATTCTATTTTCTTATTTTTGGTTTCTGAAATCCATTGGATAACTAGATTTCAATTCATTCATTTATCAGAATGAAGTAGAAAATGTTACGGTGTACTTAACTTCAAGAATAATGACTGTTATTTCATTATTGGTTAACCTTTTAAAATGTTTTCTTATAGAATCTGCACCAATAAATCTTTTCAAAAAAGAATACTTATATCGGTCATGTTTTAAACGGAAGAAGGAAAAATCATGAAAAGTTATGTTGATATTTTCATTTTGGATAAAGAATCATAGCCTTATAATGTAAGAGATAAAGAAAAAGAAAAACACAAAACTTGTCAAGTGATTTTAAACTTGAGATTGCTGAACACTTGGATAGTTTAAATCTCTGGGAGGTTGGAATTCCTGTTCCAGTCTTGCAACTTACAACTGTATTAATCTTCCTCATGAATATAAACTGTGTAGTGGTTTCCTGTGGAAATATGTCTCTTCCAATTCTCCTGCCGTGGAACAAAATTTTATGTATGAAAAGAGCGGATTCTATTAGAAAAAAAATATTTAAGCCTGGTGGATGGCATGTCATCCCATATGAATTGACTGGGTCTTCACCTGCAGATAAATGCTGCAGCTGCAGGTGCTATAGTTGGGGCTGCTATTGCTGTCGGGACTCGTAGCAAGAAGGAGGTTGCTGGGATGGCTGCTCTTCTTTCCATCTTAGGTGCTGCAGCTGATTATTCCAGGACATTGTGACTTTTGACATTATCTTTCCGAGGAAATAAGATGGGTAAGGTTGAATTTTAAGTGTATTTTCCTTTCTTCCCTTTATTTTCTACTTACCTAATTGATTGTTATCTTGTTGAACATTAATTATTCAAGCTAGTGATTATCAATTTTTTTTAATTCAAGATTTTTACATCGACCAGTTATTATGTTAACTTTAACATGAATCGAGGTAACTGCATTTTCTTTAGTCAAATTAAATTAGATAAGAGTTAAGAGCAATGGCAGATCCCGGTTTCAAATAAACCCAGTGTATTATGTAAAGGAGATTAATAACAGCAAAACAAGCTATTGTCTGTAGTTAAATTATTAGTTCAAAGGTGGCTCATTGGTAAATTGGTAAACTTCCCGCATTCACGATGAGATTGACTCGTGCAAGTCATGTTCCCTTCTTCCATTTCTCATCCTCTATTTATCTTCTTTAATTGTTAAAGGTAAACAATACAATTTAATAATCAAATTTGTTTAAATAATTAATGTTCATAGAATGATAACATAGATGTAGGTGCAGATTTATTTGTTACATGGAAATTGCAACTATAGATAATACTTGGTAGTTGGTACGACAATAGTTTATATGAGACTAATTTCTAGTTTAGGGTAGTACTTTCATTGTATACATTTTTTTGGCTGATCTCGTACCTGCAGCTTGACTGTCTCTAATATGACACTTTGCTGCTTCACATTTGCACTATTTGCTTTCGCATGTCCCGTACTCCCAAAACAAATATCCAATTTTATTTAGGAACCCGATAATTTGCAGGACTTTCTCAAACTCGATGTTTTGTTGAAGGTCATGAAGGAACACATTTAAAATGAAAAATAGCCCAGCCTGTGCGGCCAATTGTAATTCACAGGTTGTTGTTCCTCTTACAAGAATCTAAGTGAATAGCGTCTTTATTTGCAAGCATTAGCACATATCATTAGTACTGTAGTTAGTATAAGATTAGCAAGTTAGCAATGTGTAAGAGCTGTGCTAAATTAGCATTTTACCGAAACATAACTGTCTCGGAATTTTAAAGCCTGAATTATCAGAGATTGAAAATGCTGTTGAATAAAAAGTCTATTACTTGATTAAGGCTATTGAAAATGCTGGTGGAGCAACACACTAGAAATTAGCATTCTGCATTTTACCAATTACTCAAATTAACAATTAGGCCCTGCCTGGATTGATGGTAATGGGCTGGAATAATACAAGGCTTAATAATTACTGACCATAGTACAACACCTGGAATAGGGGGAAATAATTTGGGCCGAATATTTTACCCCCAAAATGAGGGTAATACATTACCCAGCCTCCCCTTAGGGTAACAATTCAGGGGTTAAAATTTTTAACCAAACTTCATCCCTTTTACTGTTTTACATTGTAGCCGCTCACTCATTTTCTCTCCTTTAATTATTCTCTCTTTGAAATTCCTTTGTATTGTTTTTTTAAATCGAATTTCCTCAGTATTTTTTTTTTTTTTTTTGACGGGAATTTCCTCTGTATTTGGTTGAAGTTTAATAACTTTTCTTGATCATCAAATTCAAAGTTTGACAAATCCGTGAATTGTTATTTGATACTTGATCTGCTTCAAATGAATCATTTAGTTTCAAATTTATAAGATTATTTGGTTTTTGCCTGTTTTTTTTTTTTATTTGGATTATTAGATGTAGCTTTTTTTTTTCTTTTTTTTTTTTTTTGCATTGATGATAAATTTTAATATACTTCTTAACATTTTGATGTGATTTGTGAAGTTGCTCCGTACTATCCAGTTATATATGTCCAGAATTTCAATGCTACTAGTATTAATTTGATATCAAAGTATATTTAAATTTAATTAATTTTTTTTTAAGAAAAAGCATGTTCATATGAATCTTATTTCGAGTGTCTGAAAGAATTCATCCGTTTCCCATTATTTGTTTCACTTAAACTAAACCTTGTCTGATATTACTTCCTTGAAATCTTCTCCCTTAATTAGTCCTCTAGTATCAATTGCCCCCATACAATTTACCATTGTAATGAGTACCCCAAATACAGGCAAGGCCTTAGTGAAGCACTCGGATAGATAAGCAGCAATTGCATGTCCATCCTTTGTGCTTCAGATTATCTTCGAGCTGCTTGTGACATTTAAATTAGAATTACGGTGAATGATAAACCTTAGTTATTAATACAAGTGTAACCTTCGCAGGGAACTTATAGGTCGTTTACAAGAAGCCAAGATTAACGTCGAAGGAAGAAATTCAAGCTCAGCAACTGATGGATTAGCTAAATTTGCTAGGAGTTATCCTTGAACCAATAGCAGATGTAACTTGCTAACCACTCCTAGAGTGTATGGACATAGGTACTTGATTTTTACTATAATTATTATTAGAAATAACTAGTTTTAATCCCGTGCAATATTCTTCACGGTTTGATTTAATGAGGTTAGATGATTAAAGCATGGTGTATGATAATGTAAAAGTTAAAATGTTGCAATAAGAGGTAAATAGAGAAAATATTATTTATAGCAAGTATATACACATATTCGAAAGCAGTATCCTACATGGCTACATAATACTATAATAGAGGTGGTAAATAACTGGTGATTAAAGATCAGTCAGGCCTTTATACAAAATCTTGTGTCCAAACCCGCAAAATAGTGTTAAGAACTCAAGATTATCGAGCCAAAGTGAATTTTTGGGCCAGATTTGGATTATGAACTAAAAATACGTATTTAGGGTTGCCAAAACCCATACTTTTTTCAAGCTGGATCAAGTCATTATTGATAACCTTTAAATGCAGATTTTTGGTAGGATCCACCTAAAAAAAGATATTTTTGGTGAGCCCACCCTTTGAGTAACATACTTTAAAAATGGGTATTGGACTGTAGATGTTATTTTTGCCGATTATAAGACAATTAAGGCATTATTTTTTTTGTGGTGGGGGCCTTAGTTGACTGGCAGTAATTTCGTGACATGATATATCCGACTATCACTATCACATATCCAATCATATAACTAATCTATCTATCATATCATATATATATATATATAAAGTCGGTCTCACAGCCAGGTTACAAGACAGCGACATTTGACATTCTAGTTTTCGCCAAGTGTCGCGCCACGTAGACGACAAATGGGTATTATTGTGACACATATGATGCTAAAGTAAGAGATTTTTGAATATATTTTTTTAAGATAAAAATGTTGCACATAGTTTTATTATCACTATACTTCTAATATTTCATATATACACACAATTAATCATAACTTTTAATAAATATCTTATAACTCGGTTTTATTTCCATTATAAAATTCGTTTCAAAAAGTTCTTTAAAATAAGATTCATTTATAATATATTTAATTTAGTTAAAAAAATACTAGAGAATCAGTAAAAATAAGTTTTAATCGGTAGAAATAATTTTGGTTTGATAAAAATACTTTCAATTCAATAAAAACAATTTAAATTCAATAACAATAATTTCAAGTCAACACAAATTCTTATATGTGGCTGGCCACACGGTTTGACATGGATTATTTCGTTAGTGTTATAGTGGTTACTCAGTCCGTGTTATAGGGGTTACTTCGTCAATGTTATTGGGGTTACCAGATTAGTGCTATAGGGGTTACTTGGTTAGTATTACAGAGGTTACTTTATTGTTTTACAAGCGATCACATGGTATGGCTAGTCACACACAAGACGGGCTGTCAAGTCGTCATTAATAACATAGATATCTTATTTTATACTATTTGAATAATCCTTTTTGATAAATTAAATATATTTTTTTAAAAAAAAGTACACCATTATATAAATAAGCGATATGATAACGTATGTTAAATATCCTGTATTATAAAAAAGGATTATATGACCGTATTTAATATTCAAGCCAAAAAGTTTATACTAAAATTTTATAACCATCTAGGCATCGCCCACGCACAAAACTTGGCATTCCAGTTTTTCACCAAGTGTCGTGCAACCAGGTCACGAGACAACGACACTTGGCATTCCAGTTTTTCGCCAAGTGTCGCGCCACGTAGGCAACAAATAGATATAATTGTGACACATATGATGCCAAGTAAGCGAATTTTGGATAGATTTTAAGATAAAAATATTGTACAGAGTTTTATTATTGATATACTTCTGATATTTCATATACACAAAATTAATCATAACTTTTAATAAACATCCTAAACTATATTCTATTTTCATCATAAAATTCGTTTTAAAAAATTCTTTAAAATAAGTTCCATTTATAGTATATTTAATTTATTTAAAAAATAATAGAAAATTAATTAAAAAATAATTTTAGTTTGGTAAAAATACTTTCACTTCAATAAAAATAATTTAACGTCAATAAAAATAATATCAAGTCAATAATAATATAGATATCTATTTACAAACAAAACTACAAAAAAGTACACTATTATATAAATAAGCGATATGGTATCATATGTCTAAATATCTTGGATTATCAAACGGATAATATGATCATATATAACATTCAAGTCAAAAGGTTTATCCTAAAATTTTTCAACCATCTGGGCATAGCCCGGGTACAAAATTTGTCACTAATAAATAAAACCGGTCTCACAGCCAGGCCACGAGACAACAACACTTGGCATTCCAGTTTTTTGTCAAGTGTCACGCCACGTAGGCAACAAATAGGTATTATTGTAACACATATGATGCTAAATAAGCGATTTTTAGATAGATCTTTAATTTTAAGATAAAATTGTTGTATAGAGTTTTATTATCGATAGAATTCTAATATTTCATATATACAAAATTAATCATAACTTTTAATAAATATCCTATAACTCAAATCTATTTCCATCATCAAATTCATTTTAAAAAGTTCTTAAAATAAGATCCATTTATAATATATTTAATCACAAACTTTTATACGTAGCTGGCCAAACCGTGTCACCAACTATACAAGAGTTACTTCGTTAGTGCTATAAGGGTTACTTGGTTTGTGTTATAGTAGTTATACATAGGAGTTACTTAGTCACTGTTAGAGGTTACTCAGTTAGTATTACAAGGGTTACTTGGTTAGTTTTATAGGGGTTACTTTGTCCGACCAGATAGTGTGGCTAGCCGCATACAAAATACATTATTATTTAATTTATTTAAAAAAATATTAGAGAATCAGTAAAAAAAAATTTTAATAGGTAAAAATAATTTTAGTTCGGTAAAAATACTTTCAGTTGAGTGAAAATAATTTAAATTCAATAAAAATAATTTCAAATCAATAATAACATAGATATCTACTCCCTCCGTTCCATAATACTTGGGACGTTATGGTGGACACGTAGTTTAAGAAAACTACAAATGAGTCCATTTTAATTATTTGTTTATTGTATAAAAGATTATCTTTTATATTTTTATATTATAAGAAAACAACAAAGTGGGGTGGGAGTGGAGTAGGTGAGGAGAGAGAAAAGGTGGGAAAATATTTTTTTATTAGTGGTTTCATTCCATTTTTAGTAACGTGTCAAGTAGTGTGGGATGGGCGAAAATGGAAATTATGTCAAGTATTATGGGACGGAGGGAGTATTTACAAACAAAACTACAAAAAGTACACTATTATATAAATATAAGTCATATGATATCGTATGCCTAAATATCCTACATTATCAGAATGAATTATTTGACCATATTTAACATTCAAGTAAAAATGTTATCTTAAAATGTTATCAATCATCTGGGGATCATTGTTGGATAATTTAGAGTGTTGTAGTGGAGAGATCGCTCCACTTGTTAGCACGCTTGTGAAAAACAAGCGCGGACCGCTCCAAAAGCGCGACAAAATCGCGCTGGGTTTCTGGAAAATCTGTAAAGTTTAGGAGGCGCGCCCGCGACATGGTTTGGCGCGACCCGCGCCTAAACCGCGACAAAATCGCGTCAGGTTTCTGGAAAAGTTGGAATTTTGGAAGAACGAGGAGGAGCGCCCGCGCCCCATGGTGGCGCGCCCGCGCTGCTGTGGTGGTGCGCCCGCGCCTCCTCGCTCGTCTTCGGTTTTTGCGGTTATTTCCTTTATATCGTTTTCGATGTTTTGGTTTTTGACATACAGAACATAATATTCCTCTCTGAAAAACTCTCTCTTCTCTCTACAATTTTATTGAAGAATCTTGCAAACTCTTCTTTAATTTCTCCATCATTAAGTTTATTGATTGAGAATTTATTCATCTTATCACACATCTTTGTGCTTAGAGTGTGGTGTTGACTATTGTATCTCAAAGTGAGTTTCCGGTTTCAACCCAAGCACCGTGGTGGGGGAAATTATCACTTTAGGAAAGTGTATACATGCCTTAGTCAAGTATCCAGTATAGAAGACTCACGTGGTCATTGTTTTTCTCATGTTCTTGGTGGATATCGGCTTGGCGAGAGGCAAGTAAAGAACCATTCACATTAGTGTTATTTTTGTTGTAATTTCTGAATTATATTGTTAATTTAGTGCTTGGTTTGTTATAATACTTTAAGTATTTGGTGTTGTGTATTTAATTGAATTTTATACACATTGTAGGGTTTGTCCACCATTGTTATTTGATTCTAGTTGTGTAGAATCAAAGTAATAAACCCTAACAATCGCCTGGGAACAAAACTAGTCACTAATAAATAAATTAAAGCCGGTCTCGCAGCCAGGCCACGAGACAGCGACACTTGGCATTCCAGTTTTTCGCCAAGTGTCGTGCCACATATGAGATAAATAAGTATTATTGTGACACATATGATGCTAAGTAAGCGATTTGGATAGATTTTTTAAGATAAATTGTTGCATAGTGTTTTATTATCGATAAAATTATAATATTTCATATATAAAAAATTAATCATAACTTTAAATAAATATCCTATAACTCAATTCTATTTCCATCATCAAATTCGTTTTAATAATTTCTTCAAAATAAGATCCATTTATAATATATTTAATCACAAACTTTTATACGTAGCTGGCCAAACCGTGTCACCAACTATTACAAGAGTTACTTCGTTAGTGCTATAGGGGTTACTTGGTCAGTGTTATAGTGGTTACTCAATCAGTGTTATAGATAGTGGTTACTTAGTCAGTGTTAAAGGTTACTCAGTTAGTATTCCAGGGGTTACTCGATCAGTTTTATAGGGGTTACTTTGTTCGGCAGATGGTGTAGTTAGCCGCATACAAAATACATTGTTATTTAATTTATTTTATAAAAATTATAGAATGAGTAAAATAAGTTTTTATCAGCAAAAATACTTTCAGTTAAGTGAAAAAAATTTAAGTTCAATACAAATAATTTCAAGTCAATAGTAACATAGATATCTATTTACAAACAAAACTATACAAAGTACACTCCATATGATATCGTATGTCTAAATATCCTACACTATCAGATTGAATTATTTGACCGTATTTAACATTTAAGTAAAAAATTTATCTTAAAATTTTATCAACCATTTGGGTATCTCCCGGGCACAAAAGTAGTAATTAATACATAAAGGTAAACTTTTAGCCAGGACACGAGATAGCGACACTCGATATTTCAGTTTTTTGCCA